GCTGGACTCCAGAATTAGTAAGGCGCTAGACTTGGGACTAAAAATAGAAGCACACTCACAAGAATACAAGCCCTCCCCAGCCCCTGCTACCTGCTCTGTCTCCATGCAGCCTTCTCAGCCCCAGCACTGCTTAGACACCCGCCTCCTGCAGAGCTCGCATTGTATGGGAGGCAGGAGGATAGCAGCGGCTTTGAATAGAAAAGCCCTGCTGTACACTCCCCGGCTACTAGATGTCGCTGCAGCGGCCAGGGAGTGTGTGTATAGCGGCACTTTTATATTCACAGCCTCTGCTGTCCTCCCGCTGACTGACACTGCTGCGCTAGGAGGAGGCTGAGGAGACTCTCACCTAGCGCTGCAGAAGTGGATGCTGCGACCCCCTCAACAGCGAGTTGCGACCCACTTTTGGGTCGCGACCCACAGGTTGAGAACCGCTGTTGTAGGGGAAGGAATTTCACTGGAGCAGAGAATAGTGATCAATGAATGAGGCTGAACTCCAATAGCCACAAAGAATATACATTTGCTCTGTGTGCGACAAATGCCTTTGCAAGTCCGGTTATCTTATAAAAGTGCAGAACGCAGAGTCGTGATAGTAAGAAAAGACAAATATACAACCTCACTGGTACATTTTTAGGATTACACTAATCAAATATAGAATGGCCAAATCGAGACCAGTATTGAGCCAATCCAATGGGAATCTCACCAGTGTGTGTGTCCAATGTGCACATACAGAGCAGACACCTCTCCCGCTGGCTCTGCTGTAGGGTGGCGTCTGTCCTGGAGACATGGAGCTTCTCACTGGTCCTATGGGAGTTACAAACAGACAACAGTCAGGTGATTGTAGAGACCACGGATGTATATTTAGTATCTGTTTAGTCAGTGTCCTCTCTCACCTATACACCGTGCTGACTGTGGAGGGGAAGTCCGCTTGTAGTTTAGTGATGAAGGATTCGGATAGAAGCTGAATACTGCTGTTAGAGGCCTGGAGGAGGAGGAGGAGGAGGAGGAGGAGGCAAAACTGAGGAATTACACAGAGTACAAGCCAACAGCTGAATGTAGATCAGGACTACACACCCTATTCATGATCTACAGGGAAACCACCACAATGACCCCTCCTGAGCGGGGAAACCTTCTGTTTATCGAGAGAAAGCTGTGCTACCCCAGATCTTCCCAGGGAAAGCCATGCTGCACACCCTCCCGGGGAAAGCCATGCTGCACACCCTCCCAGGTCCTCCCGGGGAAAGCCATGCTGCACACCCTCCCAGGTCCTCCCGGGGAAAGCCATGCTGCACACTCCCAGGGCCTCAGCCATGCTCATACCCTCCCAGGGAAAGCCATGCTGCACCCTCCCAGGGAAAGCCATGCTGCACCCTCCCAGGGAAAGCCATGCTGCACCCTCCCAGGGAAAGCCATGCTGCACCCTCCCAGGGAAAGCCATGCTGCACCCTCCCAGGGAAAGCCATGCTGCACCTTCCCAGGGAAAGCCATGCTGCACCTTCCCAGGTCCTCCCAGCGAAAGCCATGCTACAGTTCCTTCTACAGAAAGCCATGCTAAGTTCCTTCTACAGAAATATGTTCCACTACATCTCTCAGATCCTTCTGGGGAAACCAGAGAAGTCATTTTGGAGCTCCCCAGAAGCTCCCAGGGACAAGGTTTAAGATGCTCAGAACCTCCTAGGTCTCAATATTAAATAACATATCTGTACCTTAGTGTCCAATGCTGGGATGAAGACCGATGAAACATTAAAAAGTCTGTTGTAGAAGGAAATTTCCTTTAAGGAGTATTCTCTCATTGGACGGACAATGACAACATCCCTGTAACGATTATCAGCAAAACCCTGTACAGAAGAGACAGAACAACGGATGCTAGATCTGACAGCTCTCTATACAACTATTGTCCCAGCATGCGACCCCAGAGTATAAACTATACAAAAATACTGCAATGAGACACAAGGCACCTTAATTATGCAAACAGAGGGCAGAACTCTCATCATGGCTGTACTGTGGTTTGTGTCCTCTCTCACCACCAATGGTAAAGGAGGCCCCGTCACACTTTGTGGCCAGTAGGGAGGGGAGGATTATAACCATGTGAACATGGCATGTTGTGGCTGCTGCCTGTATAACACAGTAGGGCAGTGGTTCTCAACCTGTGGATCTCAACCCACAGTTGAGGGGGTCCCCACCTGCCTTGTGCTGCTTTAGGTAAAAGGCTCCTCAGCCTCCTCCTAGCACAGCAGTGTCAGTACTCCTAGATGGCGCTACAGCAGCAGCGGCCGGAGAGGATCAGAGAGAGGGGAGCAGGCAGGAGTGAGGGGAGGTGAGTGCTCGATCACCACAGAGCCCTCACTGGATGCCACCAGAGAGTCCCACTAGCCACCTGAGAGCCCGCATAGATACTAGTATTGGTGCATCCCTAAATATTACGGTTGGGGGTCACCACAACTTGGCAAATGATACCAAGGGGTCCCGGCCCTAGAAAGGTTGAGAACCACTGCAGTAGGGGGTGCCTGCCCTTGGCTAACTTACTACTCTTAATAAGACCACAAATCCATGATAAACAATCATGGGACACCTAGAAAACTACCACAAAGAAGTCTCATGGGACCTCATGTTATGTTCTCCGTATTTACATACAACACACTCACTGTATCCAGAGCCAGAAAGGCGCCACGTCCCAAGGAAATATTGCTGAGCAGACGGACAGCCAGGCGGGTGCAGCTTTCTCCGCTCATCACCTTGGAGTAACCGAGTGTCCGTGCCACGTGCAAAATTAGGTGGCTCCTGAACAACATAAAAATTTCACTTTACATCCCCAGTATCTCTATATTGTATGATGGTTACATGATAATTATACTGACAAGTTCTTCACTCTTTGGAGATCTCCCCTCTGCTGGCGCTGCTTTGGGGCCGACAACCTCATTCATGTTCATTAGTCTATTGAGTCACCGCTACAAGACAAGTGTGCAGGTCTGGCGCACCAATGTCCATAGCTGCACACTTGTTCCAGGTCAGTGACTCATTAGGTAGTGAAGGATGAGGATAACAGCCCTGGAACTGCACCTTAGAAACCGATCAGGGCCTAATATCCTAAATTATTACAGAGCAGCGCAAATAGCCCCCCTTGCCCTCCAAATCATATATACCCCTATGGGTCTCCTTGATTAATTCAACTTTAATTTAGACTAGTGTTTATGCTATGTACAACACTAACAGAATGGCTCTTCTTACTTTATACGATCCATCTTAACTTAAAGTGACATTAAACCCTCAGATTTTGTAACATAAAACAATACTGTAATGTGCGCCTTACTGTAATCCATGGTGGTTTCCCTTCTCTTTGCTGCTCTTCCTTTTAAATCCGTATGTCTTCTCATGCAGGGCAGAACTTCTATTTTGCAGCAGACTGCCTTGTCTCTGGAATGGATACATGGTGTCTGTGTGTTGGTTTGAAACCTGAGCCAGCACTACAGGAAGAGGCACTCAGCTGCAAAGGGAAGTTCTCCCCAAGCATGAGAAGACATGAGGATTTAAAAAGGAAGAGCAGCAAAGAGAAGGGAAACTACCATGGATTACAGTACGGCGCACATTACAGTATTTGACAAGTTCTTCACTCTTTGGAGATCTCCCCTCTGCTGGCGCTGCTTTGGGGCCGACAACCTCATTCATGTTCATTAGTCTATTGAGTCACCGCTACAAGACAAGTGTGCAGGTCTGGCGCACCAATGTCCATAGCTGCACACTTGTTCCAGGTCAGTGACTCATTAGGTAGTGAAGGATGAGGATAACAGCCCTGGAACTGCACCTTAGAAACCGATCAGGGCCTAATATCCTAAATTATTACAGAGCAGCGCAAATAGCCCCCCTTGCCCTCCAAATCATATATACCCCTATGGGTCTCCTTGATTAATTCAACTTTAATTTAGACTAGTGTTTATGCTATGTACAACACTAACAGAATGGCTCTTCTTACTTTATACGATCCATCTTAACTTAAAGTGACATTAAACCCTCAGATTTTGTAACATAAAACAATACTGTAATGTGCGCCTTACTGTAATCCATGGTGGTTTCCCTTCTCTTTGCTGCTCTTCCTTTTAAATCCGTATGTCTTCTCATGCAGGGCAGAACTTCTATTTTGCAGCAGACTGCCTTGTCTCTGGAATGGATACATGGTGTCTGTGTGTTGGTTTGAAACCTGAGCCAGCACTACAGGAAGAGGCACTCAGCTGCAAAGGGAAGTTCTCCCCAAGCATGAGAAGACATGAGGATTTAAAAAGGAAGAGCAGCAAAGAGAAGGGAAACTACCATGGATTACAGTACGGCGCACATTACAGTATTGTTTTATGTTAGAAAATCTGAGGGTTTAATGTCACTTTAACATCGTAACACCATCTCAGTGCTTTATATGTACATAATCTAATGTTCTTCTTCGCTGCTGTGTCAGCACAACTAGAATGCTTCATTTTTGTTTTGATGTTTAACTAAAAACAATAAAACTTTGGTGAAAGAAAGCGGTCAGCAATGGCTCCTTCCACATTCCTGTTCTGATAGATTCCTCTTAAACCTGGAAATATGGGGCAGACGCTACTGATCTGCTTCTTAAAATACAACCCGCTTGTTATGCTGAAGCTGTGGCTGTAGGTCCCCGGCCCGGAGGAAGACTAACTCGGGAAGCTTGGAGAAATGTCAGACTTCAGTATTTCTGGGTCAATGATACAAAATGCTGAAGCCAGAGTGTCAGCATGCTTTCTGTGTTACAGGTTACGTCAGGGGTAGGGAACCTCCGGCCCTCCAGCTGTGGTGGAACTACATATCCCATGAGGCATTCCAAGATTCTCACAGGCATGACTCCCAGAGACAGATGCATCATGGGATTTGTAGTTTCACCACAGCTGGAGGCCCGGAGCTTCCCCGTCCCTGGGTTGAAGGATTCCTGCCCACACTGGTGTGTCTGCCCTTCAGCATGCCGGGGTGAAGCTTACCGGAGTGAATGTAGCAGCTCTTGCTTGGCCGTCAGTGTTCTGGCAGAGTTGATCATGTCCCTCAGTGCTGTGGTGTGCTCTGCTGGGGGACGGATGAATGTTGGAGATTGGCTGCATTCTGCTGATGTGTTGTCTGCAGTGTGAATCTGTGCCAGCCTTTCAGTGGCATCCGATATCCCGTCCTCTTCCTGTTCCCTCTGCTGCCCCAAAAAACTGCCCACTGCCTGCTTGTAATTCTCTTCCCGCCCAGGAACCTCGGGGAGATTTCCCTGAAGTACAGATCCTGACAAAGAGAATATCTGCAGCAAAAAGAGATCACAATCAAAGTACAGCTTCATGTAAAACCAGGTTACTATGGATGCTAACCAGAAAATCCTGCAACCGTGCTAAAAACACAGAAAACCTGCCCAAATGACCTTAAAGTTCAACTCCAGATCCCATATTAGATCCTTGGGACTGATGCGTAGCCCAAATTCTGTATTGTGCTGAAGTATTCTCATAAGATTCCCCAGGGTCTCGTCAGCAGGATATGTTACCCCCCCAGCCGGGGAAAAGGAGGAGTATACTATCAAACTTTTTTTTTGGCACACGAAGAAAGCTTTAAAGACTCGTAGTACACCAAACTGATATTAGAGTTTTTGGTAGATACTGAAGAGTTCACCCAGTCCTGCTGTACAGTGCGACCCTCCCGGAAGACCCAGATACCTCCTCCACATTGGAAGGGAAGACGGAAGGAAGGGAAGACGGAAAGAAGGTGAGACACTTCAGTGATGGCGGTTTTACAGTTTTAGGATCTTCAATATAGTATTTTAGGAGTAAATGTTTATTAAGCATTGTGATACTGATAAGTGATAGAACAGACCAGGGGTAGGCAACCTCGGCACTCCAGGCTTTGTGGAACTACAAGTCCCATAAGGCTTTGCAAGACTGAAAACCACAGGTATGACGGGATTTGGAGTTTCACCAGAGCTGGAGTGCCGATGTTACCTACCCCTAGGTAGACCTACAGGGGGGTGGAATCCAGATATCTGTCTGTTCCTACATACATCTTCTAGATATGAATAGGGTGTTGGTATGAACCCATAACAAAAATATACAATCAGTTTACATTTATAGTAGGGATGCATCGATACCGAGTATTTGGACCCAAGTACTCACCCAAATGCTCCGATACCTTAACTTCCGGTCAGATGGAGATTTCCTCTGACCGGCAGTGCCGCGAGGGAACATGGAGCCAGCTTCCGGTGGCCAATTAGGAAGCCGGGGGCAGTTAATGACTCGCCTGGCTTCCTGATTGGCCGGGAAGCCGGCTCCATGCCGTTTGGCCTGGGAAGCCAGCTTCCCAACCAATCAGCATGGAGCAGACCAAAAAGCATGGAGCCAGCTTCCTGATTGGCCCCAAAGCCAGCTCAATGCTGACTGGCTGGGGAGCTGACTACCAAGCAAATCAACATCGAGCAGCCAAACAGCATGGAGTCAGTTTCCTGGGCAATCAAGAAGCCAGGCAGAAGGTAATGACAATGATTGCCCAGGAAGCTGGCTCCATGCTAGCAGAAGTACTGTATCGGTACTCGGTATTGGTGAGCACTGAAATATAAATATCAGTACGCGTACTCGATACCGAAAAACCGGCAACAGTGCATCCCTAACTTCTAGTATGAAAAATATGCCATTTACCATAGATAAACACCGTATAACTTAGCACAGGTGACCTGCAATGTTGTACATATGACTGTACTATAAAACACACAAGGTAGGAGTACCGGTCCAAACCCCTGTGGGAACAGCATACAGCCAGAAGTCATAAGTCAACAATAAGAACAGAATGGAAATCGGATTGTTTTGTGCAATAGACTCTTTGCTTTCACATTCCTTCCATTATATAATATCCGGCTGCAGTAAAATCTCTTTATGGTGACTAAGCAAATGACGTCATTGACATGCTTTAATAAGCTTTCTTCTATATTCACATATGTATGATGAAGAGTGATTTGTGATTCAGGCTTACCTGCTCCAAGGACAAGATATGAAATGGGAATGAGGTTGCCTTTAAAATGCTCTTCATTTCCAACATGACCCGTTCCCTGTCCTCCCAGGTCTGACCGCACACAGCACCCTCTGTAGGAGATGAGAGAGAGAGAGAGAGAGAGAGAGAGAAACGTCTGTAGTGTAGCGGATGCAAGGGTTAATTTTATACATAGAACCCAAATACATAATAAAGAGTCAATAGGTTTGTACTAGGGATGCACCCGCCCCAAATGCGCCGATACTTACCCCCATACCGGAACTTCCATTCAAAGGGAGAATCCCTCTGACCAGCAGCGCCGTGAGGGAGCATGGAGCTAGCTTTCCGGACAATCAGAAGCCAGGCGGCAGGTCATGACTTGATTGGCTAGGAAGCCGGCTTCATGCTGCCTAGCGGCACTGTGAGGCAGCCTGGCTTCCTGACCAATCAGGAAGCCTGGTGGCAGGTCATGACTCACAGTGTGGCGAGGGAGCATGAAGCTGGCTTTCTAGGGAATCAGGAAGCCGGCCAGGGGTTTATGACCCGCCGCCAAGCTTGCTGATTGGTAAGAAAGCCAGGCTACGTCGCAGTGTCGCTAGGCAGGGTGAAGACAGCTTCCTAGCCAATCAGAAAGCCAGATTTGTGCTTCCCCGAGACACTGGAGGAAGCCTGGCCCATGCTACCTCGGGATGCCAATAGCAGTACTCGGTACCGTCAAGTACTGATAAAAAATAAAAATGAGCAGTTTGTACTAATACTTCGTCATGGTCCTTGGAATAATTTATCTCCTGGGACTTTTCTGTGTCATTATACATATCAGCCCTCCGTTTCAAGCTATCGAACCAATCCCTGCTGACCCTGTTTCAAGTCCTCATTTGCATGGCCAATAGGACCTAAGTGAGGACTAGAGGGGACTTTACAACTGACCAATAGGAAGGTGGTCGGTTGGGCCACCTTCAAACTGTGGTGTATAAAAGTGTGTGCGTGCATCCAATAAAGGAGATTCCTGTTTGAACTTACATACAGCCTGCCTGGTGTTTGTTCTGAGCTATCACCACTGGATACGAACGGCACATAGCTGTAGTTCCAATCCCGAATTATCGGACGACCGAAATATCAGACGCTGCGGTCTGAAATCTGAGGAGTGCCGGGAGAGTGGAACCGAGCGAGCAAGGGGCTCGTTACATACTTCTATTCATTTAGAATGGAAATGCAAAAAAGAGTTCAACTCCGTATTGCAGAGACTTTTCATCATTTCCATTCTCATTGACACAAAAGGAAGAAAGGAAACCTTGAACAGAGGGAAGCTAAAACAGATACAAAAACCTCAGAGATCCTAACCCTTTCACTCTCCACTAACAGAAGTGCATTCATTGCAGTCAGTGACCCTGATGGAGAGGTTCTGATTGGTTCTGATCACTTTCTCTACTCCTGACAACTGAAATAAAGGGGAAATCTCTCCAACAAAGGAAAGAGAATGGCCTCCTGTACTCCGCATTATTTATCTGCCTGGCTACTGTTCAGCTGAGGAGAGTCTTGTGACTCCTATCATCAGCTCTCCCTACAGCTTATTTGCAGGATTTATAATACTCACAGATGTCCACAGGTTCAATAGGAAAACAAGTTACTATCATTTTTACATTGAGCAGATGCTGTTCTATCTAAACCGTGCTGACCGAGACAGCGGTCCCCGATTATTCAATGTTCAATATGCTCCCCACTTAAAGCCCATCTCCAGGGGCAAAAAAACTCCCCTCACAGTTAGGTTATCACTGTACTGCAAGAGTTAATCACTGGTTTCAGTTTAGGGGCATTGTGTAAAGGACTTTTACTTACCTGATCCCCGCTCCCCTGGCAATTGGCGAGCACACTGCTCCCCTACGCTCTGGTCTGTGGATTGTCCTTTGCGAACCTCACGTATAATGCAGGGCTATGGTCCCTGCATTGTATGTGATGATGTCAGCAAGTCTGCTGGAGCGTAGAGGAGAAGAGGCTGTAGGTGCCGGTCTTGGAGCCTGCAGGAACGGGGATCAGGTAAGTAAATGTCCTTTACACAAGACATAAAACGAGCAGTTAGCGCTTGCAGAGCGGGGGGGGGAGGGGTTTACTTCTAGAGATGGGCGTTAACCTAAAAGCCGTTCGGCTGGACTGTGCCACATTCCACACACTTACCATCAATGAAAAGGATGCCTGGTATAAAACGCAGCTTCTTAGAAGCATCACGGCTCAATCCCTGGAAGACAACCAAATGTTTGTCAGCTTAATAGTACGCACTGCGTCATAAAAAAAGATGTCAGAGCAGCAAACTCTGTTCATAATATGCAATCCAAAGATTTCAATGTACTGTACATAACATCTACAGCAATGTATAATCCTCTATGTTCATTCGTAAGTATAAAACTGGAGCCCTCCAAGGAAACGGGAAAGAAAAGAAAAAAGGGAAAAAGGAAAGAAAAGAAAAAAAAAGGGAATGGAAAGGAAAGAAAAGGGAAAGGAAAGGAGGGGAATGGAAAGGAAAGAAAAAGATTAGGCGTTCAATACCGGCTCCACATACTCTTGTTAGAGTTTCCCGCTATTTTCTATCCCAATACAGCAAGTTAGAAGAAATCTCAACCAATGACTCTAGCCCCCTGCTGTGAGTTGTGGTGCCTCCCCCCAGCCCCTACATTAATACCGTGTCCTGTAGTGACCCAGTGAATTGAAAGTGAACCACCTTAACAACAAAACATTTTATGGGCTCCCAGGAGTTGTGTGCCATCATTTGCTAGTATACACGGTATATTTGAACTATATGACAGACTTTCTGCCCCCCATGGCCAGTGCTTCCACCTTCTCCTGGTCTACTTCCAGGGTCAGATCTCAGCATTATTAATGTGGTCACAGGCACATGATACAAATCAGTCTGTGTTCATAGAAAAGGCTTCTGTGTTCTCGGAAACTCTAGTAGTAGTATTATAGCCGTGTTAGCTATAAAATAACAAGCTTGGAATATTTACCTCTTGAACCTGCTGGATCATAGCACTAGATGACGCCCCCCCCGAATAGGACAGGAGAACCTGAAAAGCAGAAAACATAAAATCTGGGATGTGATCAATGAGAAAACAAATGGGGGTGCCACTGCTGATAGTAGATTCCAATATGAAATGTTATTTATATCAATGGAATAAAAGAGCCAACGCATTTCAGGGTCCACAATATCCCCCTACATCAGGGCTGAAGGATTACTTTGTGACTCGATTTCTTTTAATGTTTGGACTAAACATGATACATAACAATAGTTAGCAGTTGTAATGACAGATTAGGGTTTTGGAAGAGGGGATGTATTCACATGAAATTAAATGCTTTACTTTCCTAAAGGGTTTTAAAGAAGAACTCCAGGCAGAAATAAGAATCTGGAACCTCGGAAGACGGCTGGCTGTTAGACCGGTTCCTGCAGCATCGCTTCCCCTCTGCCCTGGCGGTCTAAGGTCCTGTAAGTCATCACATCACAATACAGTGTAAGGAAGCTGAGGGACAATCAATCGCTGGAGCAGAGGGGGAGCGAGGCTGCAGGAATTGGTTTAACAACCTGGAGGAACCGAGGATCAGGTGAGTACATCTTCTTTATTTCAGTCCCCTAGACCAAAATGAGCACTTAACCCTTGCAGTACGGGGGGAGCTTCACTGCATGGGGACATTTTTCACGTTTTCCCAGAGTTCTTTACGTTTTTTTGTTGTTTTTTTTTTAAACTAGAGCTCTGACACACACACACACACACACACACACACAGCCAGTACAGTAATAATCTCTTCCTTACCTTCTCTCCTGGGAAGACGACTCTGTTCTTGCCCAGCATAGCCCGGAATTTGTGCACAAAGTATTCTCTGAAGCACGACCTGGAAAAGACAGATTCGCTGTTTTGGTCTGTTACTGACAAAGACACACAAAGAGGTTTTCAGATCTTTTCCCACATTCACGTCTCCTGCCAGTACAATTCCCTATAGCACATAACAAACATCTTTATAAACACCGACCCCGGAATTCAGCAAGAGAGAAAAACGTCGGCACATGTGACAGATTCATGTACTTGTTGAAAAAAGGGCGACAGACAACCAGACAGATAATCTCCATGGTCACCTACCTGCAGAAGGCATCTCCCACACGGATGATCAGGACAGCTGAGGCTTCCTTGCATTTCATGCATGTTTGGCCAATCCTGCGAACACAATCAATACAAAGAAGCTATATGTTCAGCAAAAGCCTCTTCCCGGAATACAAGGAATCCCAACTCCACCCAACAATGCTTTAGTTTACATCGAGTGGTGAAGGGAATGGAGGACAGGGTGGTGGGCAGCCTGCATCCCTCCCTCCTCTCAGCATGCTGGGCAGCCTGCATCCCTCCCTCATCTCCATCCCCCCCTCATCTCAGCATGCTGGGCAGCCTGCATCCCTCCCTCATCTCTATCCCTTCCTCATATGAGTGTGCTTGACAGTCTGTATCACTCCCTTGTCTTCATCACTGCCATATATGAGAGTGCTGGGTAGTCTACATCCCTCCCACATATCAGCATGCTAAGCAGTCTGCATCCCCCCTCATCTGCATCCCTGCTTCATCTCAGCATGCTGGGCAATCTGCATTCCCACCTCATATCAGCATGCTGGCAGTCTGCATTCCCCCCTCATCTCAGCATGCTGGGCAATCTGCATTCCCCCCTCATCTCCATCCCGCTTCATCTCAGCATGCTGGGTAGTCTGCATCCCTTCCTCAACTCCATCCCTGCCTTGTATCAGTGTGCTGGACGCCCTGCAGCCCTCTCTAATCTCCAATCACCTGCTTGCCGGCTCCTCTCTCTTCAGATCCTGACAGCCGCTCTCCTCCACCTCACACATTACTACAACGTGACTGATTCCAGCTGACAGCTGCTTCCGGCCGGCGCGAATGACGTCATCTCAGCATGACGTCTAAAAACCTGCGACATCGGCTTAGAACAATAAGAACTTGGCGTGCACTGCATGCTGGGAAATGTACTTTCACTGCTGCTGAGAGGCCACAGTGGGTAGTGAGTGAATTGGTGTTAGGGGAGGAGTTATCTCAGTGAGATAAAGACGTAGGCGGGGTTTAGATGTAGAGTGGAACAGGGTTAGAGGAGGAGTTATCTCATTCAGATGAGGACGTAGGCGGGGTCCAGATATACAGTGGCATGGGGATAGGAGATAAATCATCTGTGAGATTAGGACGTGGGCGGGGTTTAGCTGTACAGTGAACTATGATTAGGGGAGGAGCTATATGAGAGAGGTGGGCGGGGTTTATTGTTCAGCACAGCGGGAGAGGGAGATGTGTCAGACCTGAGCAGGTGTAAAGAAAAGTAAAGTTTGGTTGTACACACACTTTAAAGGAGAACTATGAGATGAGTGATTTCCACTCACCTCATAGTAGGGTTGCCACCTTTTCTTCCAGCGAAACCCAAACACTCTAGCCATGCATGGAAAAAAAATTTGGGAGAATGAGTCGTGGCTTACTCACAACCCACCGGTTGGGAACCACGGATCTAGGACAACATAGCAGATTTGGAAAAAATCTCCAATTCAGCTCACTTTCCAGTTCAGCAATGTTGTCCTAGATTGCTCACTTCTCCTTCCTTCTCCAAACTCTTCACTCTTTTGTGAATAACCCTGATAGTAAATGCAGCGAGAATTTGTACAACTCTGCACTGGAGAAAGGAGACACCATCATCAATTCAACTGTGGTTCTCTAAAATTGCTGAAATTAGAGATATGGAAGAACTTTCAGCGTCATTATATTATAGAGATGAGAAATTGGGATATACCTGGTCTAGTTGGATGTGATCACCTACTCTCAGGAATATAGGAACCTTGTGTCAAGTGTAATTATTAATGCTAATACTTCATTGAGATATTTTAGAATCTGGGCTCTTGTATTAAACATTTTTTTTTTTTTGTGTTTGGCCAGGAAGTTGGGAATGGGATAAGTAAAAATAGTAAATGGTATGGATTGAATCCTGGTGGAGTTAGGAATAATGAATGTATTAGTTAGGGATAAATCAGGTGAAAATATCTCTATGTTTTTGTAAATATACATGAGATGGATCTGAATTGCTATTCTTATTTAATCACGTATTGGTTTTGAAAGAAATAACTAAATAGAGAATTAAAAACAACAAAAAAACATTCCATTTGTTGAATGTCCAGAAAAAAAAGTTATATGCTGGATCAAACTGATCTGATCGGTGTGTAATGACTCGCCCACTGGATTCCGGATTAGCAGGGAAGCCGTCTCCATGAGGTGACAAGGAAGCATGGAACTGGCTTTCTGGCTATTTAGAAAGCCAGGCACCGTGTAATGACTCGTTGCCCGGCTTCCTGATTGGTCGAGAAGCGGGCCAATCAAGAAGCCGTCCAACGAGTTATTTCACGCCGCCCTCCTTCCTGATTGGCCGGGAAGCCAGCTCCATGCTCCCTCGTCACCACGTGACGAGGGAGCATGAAGTCGGCTTTCTGGCCAATCAGAAAGCCGGGGGGCGGGTAATGACTCGACATTTTGCTGATTGGCCAGCTTCCCAACCAATCAGGAAGCTAGGCGGTGAGTCATTACACACTACCCAGCTTCCTGATTAGCCGAGAAGCCGGAAAGAGACGAGGGAGCATGGAGCCGTTTTCCCGGCCAATCAGGAAGCCGGGAAGTGTGTAATGACTCACCCGCTAGCTTCCTGATACCGGAACCTCTGGTATCGGGCTAGGCATCGGAGCATTTGGGCGAGTATTAACATATTCCTCTCTGCTACAATTTTCACTTGATTTTGGAAGAATTTCTAATGTCAACAGCTGCTGGTAAACTCATGCCAGATATAGGAAATCCTTGAAGTCTCTCCGGTCAGTCAACATACAGTAGTAAAGTCATGCCAGATATAGGAAATCCTGGAAGTCTCTCCGGTCAGTCAACATACACTGGTAAAGTCATGCCAGATATAGGAAATCCTGGAAGTCTCTCCGGTCAGTCAACACACACTGGTAAAGTCATGCCAGATATATAAAATCCTGGAGGTCTCTCCGGTCTAACGAGCTCAGTTTTCCCAGTTTTGCCATACTGGCGTTCTTTGTGATGGCCCTGTATTCCCAATGAAAACAATCCTGTATGTTTTTCACCTATGACAGGACTGTACATTCAAGGTCAGGTCAGTATTGTTTGTGAATTACTTGCTAAGTGTCGGGTCTAGGGCCGTGGCATATCATGAGTATGTGCAGTTACAATGGCCATGCTGGGGATTCATCATGTACTTGTGCCTACCTCATCTGCAACATTACTGGAGAGAACAGCAGTGACAACCTTCCCGGGTTCTAGTTAGCACAGGACTCTACTATTCAGGTCAGGCCAGTATGTCTGGGGATTAATGCCTGAGTATCGGGGCCAGAAGTGCGGCTGTTCTGACCCCATCGCTAAACTCACTGTTGTTTGTGACTAGCAGGCTAATGGCTACTGTATGTGACATTCTACAGAAGCTGCTGTACAGTATATAGTGGGCAGTAGGACTGAGGCGGTTTAATTTTTCCTTTACTGAGCCTTCACTTTTTTCTCTAATAGGATTGTATGCTGCTCTTATCCTTTCTACTTGGTACTAGCGCAATGCATTAAATCCATAAAACTTATTATTTGGGGCTGTTCAGTACTGAGGCAACAGAGTACTGTGTAGGTGCAGCCCCATATTACTTTTCCTGACGTCTTTCTCTTTGTTGTGCAGGCCTTCTGATGCAGTTTCATTGTTTTTGTATGTGTGCTGTTCCATGGTGAGGTAGCTGAGCCGTATTAGGCTCAACCGCCAATCTGAATTTCCTACTTTTTTTGACAGTGGGACCGTGAGTGTGCACCAGAACGCCTACAGCCACTATACACTATGTTCTGCAGGTATGTGTATCCTCTGGTAGCCTCGGCTATCCAACATCCCCAACCCTGGTAGTGCGCATGTGATGCTGCTCCCTACTCAGGTGATGTTCGCAGTGCTGCCCCCTTCCACTGCAGCACAGTAGTCTGCCCTTCATCTGTAGGAGTCCTATGCCAAGGCAACACCACCGGGTATTGTGGTACCATTGAGTGGCCAGGACAAGCTCTTTTCTTAACTGAGGGAGCATTTATCTTGGGTACCGCAATGCCCTACCCGGCATTTATATCTAGTGGCAGGTTTTAACCACTGGATCCAAGCATCAGTCAGTGTTCCTGTTTTTTTGTGACTCCGGCTTGCTCTTTACTGGACAATGATGGGCAACCATGATGCAGATATGAAATGAAAACTACTGCAAGGTTGCCTTGTTTTTTGTTTTTTTTTTAACTCCCCCACCCAAAATCTATACATTCTACTTATGCCAAAAATTCATCCGTTCTAGCGACTGTGACAATGAGACTGTCACAGGTCGGCTCAGTAGATTGGGAGGTGAGCGAACACATACCAGGTTCGCTCACCTCTCGAACCGGGCTGGATTCCCCTCTCCCCGCTCCGATCTGCCAGCGCTGACTGGCGGAACGGACGGGGGAGGGGGCGGGTACAGCTGGCTCTGCCTCTAGATAGGCAGAGCCAGCTGTCACGCAGCTGGGCGGATCCCGTCATCTACATCGGGATCCGCTCCGGCTGCGGCGTCTCAGTATACCGCGAGCTGTAGCTCGCGGTATACTGAGCTTAGGGTAACGGGAGGACACTAAGGTAACAGTCAGTGTTCCTGTTTTTTTGTGACTCCGGCTTGCTCTTTACTGGACAATGATGGGCAACCATGATGCAGATATGAAATGAAAACTACTGCAAGGTTGCCTTGTTTTTTGTTTTTTTTTTAACTCCCCCACCCAAAATCTATACATTCTACTTATGCCAAAAATTCATCCGTGCACGGCATCAACATTACAGCAAATACATTCTAACCACGGCCATGTGAAATTTTCCTGCACGTCCAAATTATTATAATATTCAAAGGTGAAAGTCACTTGCTAGTTGTTTGTGCATCATAAACCTACAATTTTTGTACTTATGAAGTCTGAGACCCCCATGTATGGACATCTCGAGCCTTTAGGCTAGGTTCACACCTAGACGACACCTCACCGCGCGGCAATCATGCACGATTCCGCATGGATTGCCGCGGTCGGGAGTCGCCAAGGTGTGAACTGATCGCACTGTGGGTAGCATTATTTTCTAATGGCACACCAGTCGGGCAGTTTCCTGCCGCGATTCCGCATGTGCTTCCGAACACAATCGCGGCTAAAACAGCCGTGCGTCATGTATAGCAAAAAAAAAGGTGAATGTGCCTTTCTGTGATTGCCGCACGCATGCCACCCCATTGAGATCAATGGGGCAGCGGGGCAATCACTGTCTGCATTGTGCAGGACTGCGCAATGCTGGGACACGCGTCCCAGGTGTGAACCTATCTTTAACCGTTTCACTGCCGCCAACATATACTTGTGCATACCAAACTTGCATTAAAAGGACTTGGGTTTAGAGGTGGTCTGTGAGTCCCTTTCTTTTTCTCTTGCATTTTGTTATGAATACCTTCCATAGGTGGATTCTTGCAGCAGGAATCATAGGTGGCTGTGGACACTCAGCCTGTACAAAGCAATAATAGGTTGACAGCAGCTGCAGCTGTCCGCCTGTGTTTGCATGTCATCGCACACGGAACAATTACCTCGGTTACATACAGATGACCGGCATGCATGATTACATTCAAATACAGGCAGACAGTTGCAGCGCTGTCAGCCTGTCATTCCTTTGTATAGGCTAAGTGGCCGCAGCCACCTGTGATTCCTGCCAAATAAATCTGAATATTCTTGCTGCAGCAATTCACCTCCAGAAATAAACATCTTGTGTGAATGAGGCCTAACTTTTCCTGCCTGCTGTGAGTTTTTCCTAACTACCTAGGGTTGCCACCTGTCCAGGATTCACCCGGACAGTTC